CTCCCATCTTCCAGAGAGGAGAGGAGAGGAGAGGAGAGGAGAGGAGAGGAGAGGAGAGTCTTGGGTGGGCGCCCCCAGCCCCAGTCGGGAGCTCCTCTGCCCGCGTTGCTTAGCAGCCCCGAAGCTGACACGGCTGGCGGCTCGAGGGAGGCCCCGAGGAGCATCCGGCAACCTTTCGTGCCCTTGAATGGCAGAGGCAATTAAGTCAAGCCACGCGGGGCTGCGAGGGAGGGCGGAGGGTGGCCATCGCGGCAACGAGCCAGCAGGTGCGACGGAGGGGCTGGGGAGACGGAGGAGGCAGAGAGGAAGGGACGGGGGCTGCAGAAGCGGTGCCAGGCACAGGCCTGGGAAATGGAGGGTGCGAGGGGGTGTTGCTCCAGCAACACGGGCCCTGATGCGTGCCCGGCACCCGGCGGATCAGACCAGCTGGCTTCCCGGTGGCCAGAAGGGGCCTTCTCCCCTCTGAACCGCCTGTCTTTCCGATCTGCAGGCACCCTTCTCCTGAGATTGCCACTGCCAGAAGTGTTTTCGGTGGGGATCCAATGCAGGGCCTTTTCGGTGGGTGCTCCCAAGATGTGGGACTCCCTCCCTGGGGAGCTGTCCTTGCCCCCACAAACAAAGGCCAACTTTCCCAGAAAGCCTTCGTCCTGCAAGCCAGACGGTTGCTTTGATGCCATGTTCGGCCTGTGACATGTTTCGATTACTTTCAGTGCATCCCGTGCTTTTAATTCCTTTTAAATCGAATAATAAAAACTGTGAATGGAGCGGGCGACGGCTAAGCTGTATCTGGCATGCCGAGCCGGGGCAGAGAAGCAGGTACGTCCAACTGCCCGCCCGCACGGCTTTTCTTTGCGTGCATGTGTGAACCAGAGGTCGGAACAAGGCCAGCGCCGTTCTCTGCGTGAGGCGGGCAGCGTCCGTTGGTGTGGGTGGGCGTCTCAGATGCATCCACTGGGGCTCGCCAGCCCCTCGGGGACCCTATTCTGGAAAGGCGGGATAGGAAGTGCAGGCTGGGACCCGCTTGCCAAGACCCTTGGCCCCTGGCAAAGGCCCCCCGGCCTTGAGGACTGGGCGCCCAGCCGCCTTCAGGCCGTCGGGTGAATGCAGCTTCGGAGAAGCCCTCCGGCCAAGGGGGGCGTTTGGGGGTAGGTGCTGCCCAGGGTGGGTGGGGCTGAAGGCAAAGGGGCCGGGCCGACGGTAAAAGGAGGCGGCTAAAGTAGAAACATACAAACTGAGCCAGTCAGAGGGGGCCTCCTGGCCATCTAGTCTGACCCCCGGCTCCACTCACAACATGCCCACCATGTGCATGTCCAGCCTCTCCTTGAACACCCGCACCGGTGGGGCCTCAACCGCCTCCTGGGGAAGCCCATTCCACACCCTCGGGGTCCAAGCTTCAATCTATTCCTGGAGGGGAACAGCAGCACAGAACTGGGACATGAAAAGCAAAGGGTCAGAGGCGTGTCTGGATGGGAGCGCCGGCGGCCACAGGTGGCCCGAAGTCTTGAAGACAATTCTGTGTGTGTTCAGGGACGATTAGATGCCAAGGGCAAGACTGGCGCCTCCCAGAAAGTGTTTCAGTCTGAACGTCGCGGGAACAATCCACGGTGCTGAGCCATAACACACATTAATTCCAGCTCACGGGCGGCAATTTTGAAGTTTGGGCTGAAACCTGGCGTGGATATCCCTTTCCAGGGACGCAGCCCCTGCTGGTTGATTCTGCCCCTTGATGTGCGGCGTTGGGTGTTCGGGGAGAGAGATCTTGGACGACCCTCTCCGCTGGGTGAAGAGTATATTCTTTGCTCGAAAGGGTCCTTGAATCTCTCTCACTTCTCAACCTCTGCTGCACCTTCCAGCCGATCAACATCTGAGCCTGGAATAAATTATGGGTTGTTATCCTAGGATAATTAACCACGAGAAACAAAAACTAATGAGTGTCTTTGTGCAGAGTGAGGGTGCTGAGCTCTCCTTTGAAACCAACCAGGGGCCTTTCCCAAGTCCTCAAGCAAATGGCCCCTAATTGAACATTTAGCCTATGAGGAGAGCGACCGGCAATAAAAGCACGGGGGCGGAAAATGGACTAATCGGATGGGCTGACCCCCGTGGCGGGCCGGGCGAGCGGGTGGCCACTCCGGAACTGGAGGGGGGCGGTCCTCTGAGTCCCCTAGCTTGGAGGGATCCTTTTTCGCTTCGTGCCCTCGGCAAAGTCACTGCCCACGAATGGGGTTTATTTCCGAATCCCGCATGCCGGAAGCCGTGTGGGCGGCCTCGAAAATGCCCAACGTGCGGTGCTCAGGGGCTCCCCCTGCTGTCTGCTAAGGCATCCAACACCACAAGGCTGTTCAACAGACAACCGGGCTGTGCAACCAACACCAGAGGGGTTTTAACGGAGCCGTGGGACTTCGATGCCACTCAGCATCTATCCCGGGCCTTGCATAGCTCTCTCCCGAGCAGAAGCCCCATTTCAGCTAAACGGTGAATATAGCCGGAGGGAGTTGTGGGGAGCAAATAGCTGGATCTTTGCCCCTTTCCACATGAGGCCTTTCCTTACCCACAGTTGCTCACAGGCCGTTTAGATAATGTCCTGATATTCCAGTTTTTTCGTGGGTTTTATCTTAGAGCAGGGGAAATGCAGAAGTGGAAGAAAATGCATTTTCTGTTTGGGTAATGCAATGCTTCGGTTATACTCTGCTGTCTCCTAGAGGTTATGTAGTGGAAAACTAGGGTGGGAATGCACTCAGTGAAGTGTATAGCTTTCCGTTCTGTGACGAAGCCAAAAGCACATACCCCGCTTTCAACTGTCCTGGACAGAAAAGTTCTTAGGGTCGTGTCCTCCAATAATTCAGTCATTTCTTCTGCAGACTAGTTTCCTTAAGTCCACCTTTACCAGTTCCTTACTAAACGAAACATGCACAGACTTTGCTGTTTCCAACGTTTCTTGCTTTTGCTCGCTTTGCGAATGACTTAGATGTTTATGAGGACCCCCTCATTGGGGGGGCTGAACCCCAATCCAGCTGGAAGACGCTCCCAGGCCGAGCTGCCCCTCAGAGGGCATCCCTGCTGCTACCTCCTAGATGGGAGGGACGTGGCCCCCCTCGGGCCGCTGTGGTGTTTGCACTTCCCATGCCAAATGAGCCCTGGCTTGCAGCCCTCAGCAGAGGCCGGGAGGAGAGGAGCATCGGCTGGCCAGGCAGTCGGCCTGACCTTTATCGACCAGGCTATGGATTTCTCTCCAGAGCTGCACAGGAGCGCCCACGGCTGGTCCTCTGCCAGCGGAGCTGCCTTGGAACCAGAACGTTAGTTGCCAACAGAAAAACATTCCGGCAGGACACGCAAAATGCAGCACTCTTGCAAGAAGAGAGTGCCTCTGGGCATGTGCAGAGAGCTTCTGTGCTGCATCACCTGCCTTCCCCCCAGATTAATCTATGCCTTTGCTGAATTCCTCCTCCCCTCCTTGTCTTTATGGCGGAGAGAGTGCGAGAAGTGGCCTTCCATGTGGGCTGCTGTGGGGCTCACCCCGACATCCTCTCCCATAGCCAGGGGGCAGGCAGGTGTGGGGCTGGGGTCCAGGAGGTCTGTTTCATCAGGCTAAATTTAAAAGATACGCATTTGGGAACAAAATAATGCCTATTCCCAAGCGAATGTGTTCAGCTCCAGGGACAGCGAAGCAAGCTCCTTTTTATTCCTCTCCTCACAGAGGCACTTCGATTTACAATGCAGAACCGCGCATGCTCAGAGTCACTCTTTCTTTCTTTCTTTGAAAGCACACTGGATGCCAAGGTAACACACCTGCACTTAGAGAAAAATCGGGGGACTTTGTCCTTTCGCACACCTCTCCATCTGCTCCGATCTTGGCTGCAACCCTTAAACAGCAGGGTGAGAAAGAATGTCCCTATAATAATAGATTATTTTGCTTTAATCCAAGGTATTAAATGGGCCACCCAGGAGCTGGGCCAGGGGAGATGAAAAGGCCTGGAACTGGTGTGTTGACGAGGATTGAACAGCTCCTTCCTGGGCCTCTTTTCGGGGTCCCACGCAATAGACAGATGCTCTCATTTCTTCTGTCCCTGCACAGGTGAATTCTTTTCCCAGCTGCAACTCCACCGAGTTCTGCAGAGGGACAGCAGCGAAAAGAGACCAGCGCTGGCAAACATCTCAGGCAGATCCACGCTACAG